GCACGCCTGGCTAGTTTCTTGATTTGTTAATATTTGATTCATTCTTTCTGGACTAAAATGGAGTCTCTTGTTTTTATTTGCATTTCTCTAATTGTCTTGTTTTTCTGTTAACTTTTATTTTGACTCATTGAATTGATCTTCTTCAGACTTTATGGATTACTGACTAGTTGGGACTTTAGCCATGAATTCTTTCTCTTATGTCTAGTTTGAAGTAGAGCAACAATAAACACTAATATTTTAAGTTTTGATAAAAGGCATAATAGGGACCAAAGGCATAAAAAAAGGGAAAAAATGAGAAAAGAAGGAAAAAAATGGAAATGGGGCTTTTGTAAATAAGGAAGTGGAGGAGGGGTTGAAGGGAAGGCAGAAGAATTGGGAAATAAAAAAGGAATAAAGATTCATTGTGTAAAGGTACAAATTCCCTATGATGAATGTGATCATTATGTTAATCTAAATTGTACCAATAAAATTAAAAAAGAAAAAATATAGTCTATTCTTAAAAATTTTTATGTTGTTAAAAAAAAAAACAAATTTTTTGAACTTGGATGTCTAGAAGGCAGATGCTTTCTGCAGTTCACTCTTTTTCTATTCTTATAGCAGAACTGCTTTATTCATTTGTGTTGCTGGCCTAGCCCTTGTAGGCATTTGGGCATGTAGTACCTCCCCCAACCCTTTCCTTTGTGTTGTTCAAGCTGGCCTTGAACTGCTGGACTTAAGTGACTGACCGACCTACATCCATCTTCTAAATAGCTGGGATTAAAGGTGTGCAGCCCTGTGCCTAGCCTTGTAGGACCTTTTCAAACCAACTTAAAAATTAAAAAGTCCATTATTCTCGAGTGGAAAATCTCATCTACATATAATTTAGGAATTTGTTATTTCATTTTCATTTTGCTTTTTTTGGTGGTGGTGGTGGGGTTCATATCTGCTGACATTGCACATTATATCCAGAAAAAGAATTTAGTTAACTGTCTAAGAGGTGGCACTCAGGGAATTCTCTAACAGGATGGCTCGTTAACCATGTAAAATGTACATTGGAAAAAGACTGGTGCTGTATACCAGCGCATTGGTGGTGGATTTTTTGGGTGATTCTTAGTTTTTTCCTTTGCTTGTATATTTTCTGATGTGTACTTAATGCTGAACTACTTAAATCCAAGTCATGCTACCTTGAATGTCTTAAGATCACTGCGTGTGATCCATACTCCAATCTGTAGTGCTCCATGTTGCCTTTTTTAAATTAGCAAAGTATTTTCTATGCTCTGTGTGGATTTGGCTATTTCTTTTGATAGCAGAAACTGTTCATTGGGCAAATTTGAAAGTGATTTCATTTCTCTAAAAATAGGATCGAGTTTTAAAGTTGAGGATTACACCCACATGCACACTAAGGCCATATAACACAACTGCTGATGAACTGAGCACACTGCTAGTGGTTTTTGTTTTTTAACCAGGCGTTGGATTAAGATGAGCAAGGAAGTAACTAAATATCATAACTCTCCCATGGATTCTACGAAGAACCTTGCTTCTTCCCACTTGTGCTCATTCTTTAGGCTCCCTGTGCTTCTGCAGGTGCTTATCTGAGTTCTGCCATCTTCTTGCCTCTGGTGAAAATTAGCTGGCCTCTTGCCGGGAAGGTTGTGCTGGCTGGCATGTCAGGTCAGCTGCATTGACTTCCTCTTTAGTTTTCAAGTAAAATAAAATGTAGAAATAAATATATGTGTGTGGAAGTACATGTAGGTTTTTTTGTGTGCGTATGTTGAAGGAGGCATTAGGATTTGTGCTTTTTCTTATGCTGTTATCATTTTGGCTTTTTATATCTTGTTTTCATTTATCTTTAAAAGAAAAAAAAAACAACACATGAAAGACACCTGAGCAATCAGCAGCCGCTCGCTGCTTCTGCAGTGGTGGTTCTCCATTCTGCCCTTGCAACTAGAGGACTCTACATTTTCATTTCTTTTTTCCTCTTCCTTCATATCTTTGACTTGGTGATTTGCTGAGATGTGAATCTTGTGCTTGAAGCCTGTGGTTTACTGAACTGAACAGTTCAGGAGCGCGTGAGGTTGGTGTGCTCACATTTGGCTCCAGGATACACCTGCGGTTTTCTTTCTGAGTATTCCATTTAACCTTCTTCAATTTCCAGCTTTGTGTGTAGAATGGGTACGTGATGTTCTTAGGTGGCGCACTGATAAGGGTTTCACGGATAGAATCACATAGTGAGAAAGTAATTTCTTTTTTCAGTTTTATTTGAATCCTTTTGATTACATAAACAGAAAGGTATTTGGAACCAGTGCCTTAACAGTTTTCAACATCTGCCAGTCTTTAAACAGGGAAAACAGACTTTGGGTTTATAAGATTTAGCAGACAGGAGGGCATAACTAGAATTTAATGACATTGTATTTATTTTTATATTGCTTTTCTGGTTAATGACAAGTAATGTGGCTTTCATATTTTTAATAGATTCCTTTTTTACCCCCCTAAAGCACAAATAGTTCTAAGCACAAGACAGTGACCCTAGGAAATACCTGTAAGGGAGCTGGGGAAGTAAGACAGGGGAGGTAGGGAAGGTGGTAAAGTTAGTTATTGCTGGAGCGTTTAATCCCTGTGGGGACCTCCTGGCGCCAGTGTACACCTTTGTGTTGGTCATCTCACCTGACACCCCGGGGAGCCACCGGGGCAAGGTGACCTGGAATTCTCAGTAGTCACTGGTTGAAAGTAGCTGTGGGGGTGTTAATTCTGTAGAATCCCAACCTGCACCTCCTGCATACAGAGCAAGCTCTGGCAACCAGACAGAACATCGAGGCAGGCAGCTGCAGGTGTTGACAGTTGGCCTTTGTGGACAGGGTGGATGAACAGGGAGGAGCGGCAGCAGTAGCTGCAGCACTCCCCGGATAAGCAGGCCTCCTCCACTTGGTAAACAACCTCAGCTTTTGGTGCTCATGCCAAAAACTTTGGAGCTAGCCTAGATCTTACTCTCACATCTCTCTTCAACCAGCCAGCAAATCTTGTTGGTGTTACCTTTAAAATACATCCTGAACTGGGTGTGGTGCTGCACACCAATAATCCCAGCACTTCAGAGGCTAAGGCAGGAGGATGTCCAAGAGTTTGAGGCCAGCCTGGGCTACATAGTGAGTTCAAGGCCAGCCTGAACTACATGGTGAGACCCTGTCTCGCTCCCCTTAAATAAATAAATATGCATATTTATTCATTCATTCATAATTTGACCTCCACTTGTCCTCAAGGCTACCACCTGCCCCCCTTCTTTCTGGCCAGTTCACAGCCTACTAAGTGAGTTTACTCTCAGTACAGCAATGGAATGATCTGTATAAAATCTTAACTGATTCTCATCGCACCTGCTGTAAAACCTCCAGAGGTCCCCATCTTGCTCAAAGCCTCTACAGTGGCATATTGCCGTCTGGCTCTTTCTTATGGTGTCCGTGTGTACATGTGTGCATGTTGGTGTACGTTTTTTGTTTTGTTTTCTGTTTTACATCTTGTCAAAACATTCCTTTTCTCCCTGTTCTCTTTATTGTGGATTCTGTGATAATTTCTAAGTTAGATTCATTTGTCACAGTTTGCATTTTATCTTTACCAATACAGCCTTAGTGATTTTTTTTAAAAAAAAGTTGCCACACATTAAATTCATTTCAAGGCATGTAGTTCTGTTGGTTTTGACAAATGCTTTCAGTGATAAATCCCCTACCACAGAGTATAAAAAATTATTTTCCCTAAAAAAATTCCTCATGCTTCCATGTAATCTTTTTCTCTAGCATTTAGTCCCTGGGAATCACTGATACGTTTACCCCTCTATAGTTTTGCCTTTATTTGTGTCATATCATTGGAACTCAGATAGTATGGAGACTTTTGGGTTTGGTTTCTTTCACTTAGCAGTTTGTGTTTTTCCTTTGTGGTACTGGGGATTGAACCCAGGACCTTGCACATGCTAGGCAAGTGCTCTGCATCCCCAGGTAGAACAAAATGTATTTAAGATTATGTCATGTTCTTTTGTGAATCAGTAGATCATTTCTCAAGTGTCATTTGAAATAAACATAAAATATTGAATAAAAGTAATATAAGTGATACATTGGAAAAAATCTTGAACCTTGAATGACTAAGGTTAGAAGTCAGTAATGGGATAGAAAGGCTTTCCTTTTTGTGGTACCTCTGCAGTAATTAACCATGCATTGTGGGGGAAGCCACTTAATCTTTCTGATCTCCAGTTTCTGGTGAAAACCCAGAACACTGAAGTATCTGATCTGGTAGTTATTAGCATCTATCTCCCAGGGTATGAGTAGATTCTTTGGTGACTCTCTTTTAACGTTAGCATTTCATTGTTGTGAAGCAGCTGTTGCCCCTGGATTTCAAAGTTGTTAGGACCAGCTGTTATAAATGCTTTATCAGACCTCTAGTGAAGGAATAGAGTCTGTCATTTGGGGTGAGGTAAGCTTTCACTGCAAGGCTTCAAGACACTGACTCATTTTCTGTTGGGCTTGTCACGTTCCAGAAGGTAAGAGTGAGAGAGCTGCAGTAGTGTCAGAGAGGCACTGGTGATGGCATAAATGTTACCAAGTTTTCTGCTAACCTCTTCTGTGACTGTAGCAGTTAGACCTTAATCCCATCGCCCTGTCATTAGATAGATTCTCCCAGGGAGGCATTGATTGTTGGGGTTCATGGTTTTCTGGCACTTTCTTGTGTTTTACTGATAGTCTATTTTGTCCTGTAATTGACAATATGTATTTGAAGTTCAGAGTGTGTTTGAGAATGCTTCATGGGTGACAATCTTGCAAGAAACTGGGAAGGAAACATGATATTTGCTTGTTTTGTTACTTTTATAGATGGACAGATTCATAATACCTTTTAAACTCATGATTAATGGCCTTAACATTTCTGACCAAGTTTTTTTTTTTTTTTTAATTGGGATAGGTAATGGAAGGACAAATTTGAGAGTAGAAAATTGGTACAATTACTATGTGATGCATAGTAATATTTATTTTACTTTTTACTTGTAGTAATGAATGTTATAACTATTGAAGATTATAAGAGCACATACTGGCCAAAATTGGATGGTGCCATAGATCAACTTTTAACCCAGAGTCCTGGTGACTATATCCCCATATCTTATGAACAGATATACAGGTAAGTCAATATTTAATTTGCCTGGGCTTAAAAGGGCTATTTTGAGGTTCAGTACAACTTGAGTTATGATAGCTTACATGTATGTAATACACTAAATACATAAGGTGAGGCTCTGTATTTATATGTTCCCCACTTGTGAATTAGAGGTTTGATTTATACTTTTTGGTTCTCAAAAGTGGTTTTCAGATCAAGATAGAGTAAACTATGCTTTGTTAGACTTCCTCCCACCTCAGCCTACCACCTCCACCACACATACCACAGAATCCATGGAGTCACTGAAAAAAGCCAGAATGACTGAAAATATGTAAAAATATGCATTTTTTTAGTCTCACAGGGAGACCCTAGTTTAATCTATTGATGTTTGTTAACACTCAATTCTAACTCTCTTTGATTATTTTGTTTCCCAGCTCCTGGTAAATGGAAGCAACAAAGTAGGAACTGGGGTGGGATGTGAGAGCAGCACAGTGACAGGAAGAAGTGACAACTATGTTGTTCCACACAACTGATGTACAAAGAGGTTGTATTGCAAACATTTTTGTGAGTTAGAAACTGTCTCTGTACTGGTTATCACTCTCTCTTCCTTATTTTGACATTTATTTATATAAAAAAGAGAGCGAGAGAGAACCTGACATTTCAGGAGTTATATTTTATAGCCTAGATTATCATTCAATATTAGATTATCTAGTGCCGATTAAGTTTGTACTACTCATTATTTGTAGTTAGTTAAAATATCTTTTCCATCTAAACACTGGTTGGGGGGAGGGTAAATTTTTATTAAGAGTTGTAATTGGCCCATTGTTTTAGATTTGAATTGTTTGGTCATTGGTTGTGTAATGAGAGTATGTTTTAACCTTAGAATGAGTTAAGTGCTTCTTCATTAACTGGGTTTTTTTGTTTGCTTTTACAGTTGTGTATATAAGTGTGTATGCCAGCAGCACTCAGAACAGATGTACAGTGATCTGGTTAAAAAGATAACTAATCACTTAGAGAGAGTCTCAAAGGAGCTGCAGGTAAAGAACTGAGTATATTGGCTTTTGCTGCTTTGGGCTTTTTTGGTTGGTTGGAATTGGACTGTTTAATGTATACTTGGAATCTTGTTAATTTGGTAATGCTATAAATTGTAAATATTTTCTAGGTAAATAAGAAGGAAATCATCAAATCTTTAGATTATTAGCTTAAAAATCAGACTTAAATTGTGAAAGTTTTTAGATTGAATGCATTTTAGACCTGAACTAATCCCTCTTGTTACCATGTCAGCATTGCTTTTATTTAAAACCTTATTTTTCCTTGTTTATTTCAACAGCTGGTAACATAGTATAAAAATATATATACACTACATAGTAACTTTTTTCTCAACTTTGTGTTATTATCTTAAGTGGTCTGCTCACTAGTTTCTAATGCTTTCCAACAGCTAAAGTCAACTATTGACAAACCCTCTGTGGTGGTGGAGCAGTATCCCAGCTCTTAAAATCTGGGTGGGTTGCAGAAAATATGCCACTTAAGGAAGGAAGCACTTGGCCTTCTGATTCCCGCCTTTGCCCTCACTGGCCTGCCTCAGAGAGCTTCCAGTGCTTGAAGTCATGCTAAAGCCAGATCCACTTTTGTTCTGGTGTAGAAGTAACATGGTATCTAGAAAAGCCCCTCAGGAATAGGTTACCAGGGTCTGTTCCACAATCAGGAGGGACTTCAGTGTTTTTAAAATAACCAGGGCTGGGGTAGGGAAGTTTTGTACTTAGATGGTGTTTCTCATTTACCTTGTGATTTTAGGTGTCTTAGTCTTGCTTATCCCAAATAGTTGTTGCACTAAGTACTATAACTTTTTAAAAAAGTGATAACCAAAGCTAAGTTTTATTGCAGTCTTGTGGTTAAGTATAAATAGTTTCCTTCACCTTTTGCCACTAAATACTAGATCTTTATTCATTTAACAGATACATTTAGTGCCTTGGCATTGTGTATAAATTATAAATAAAACCCAAGATCCATACATTTTAGCTTTGAATGATTTGCTATCTAATTCTTTTTTTTTTTAATTTTTTTTCTTTTTATTGAGGTTATTGGTACAATCTAGGTATACAGTACAATTACATTCATCATTGGGATTCTGTACCTTTACATAATAGGTCTTGATTCTCATTTTTTCCCCTTGTCCCTGCCCTCCCTTCACCCCCTCCTCCCCTCTCCATATACAAATACTTTATTTCCATTTTTTCAGTTTCTCATATTTTTTTCCTCTCCCTTATTACCTCTCCCCCACCCTTCCCACTTTCCTTACACCTTTAGCCCTTTACTTCCTATTTCACGTTATTAATTGTCTCATTAGGATCCTGTGTACTATTATAGTTTTCCACACCAAAGAAACTATTCGGTATTTCAGTTAAAGAAATCTCTGTTTGAACATTAAAAATAGGGAATCCTAAAATAAAACTAAAAAGGAAAGTAAAAGAGAAAAGGCAATGATGTAACATCAAAATAATCCTTAATTCTGGAGATGAAAATGGTCCCTGAACATATTTAAATTGCTTCTCGCTCTTATAGTCTTATCTTATTCTTTTTTCATTATTTAGAGAATACTTTATTAGTTTCTGTAATCAAACCCACGTAGATATGACCTTACATATTTAGTACAATGTGTTACCCCTGTACACAGGGAAAAAAATAAAAATAAAAATAAATTAACTTTTCTAGACCAATATGGTTGTCCATTTCTGTACAATGCCAAGTCAACACAGTAAATTGGGATGACTTTTTCCAAAGTTGGCAGCACCAATAAAGTTTCCCAAAATTCAATTTATATATATGTGTGTGTGTGTGTGTGTGTGTGTGTGTGCATGTATATAGATATATATCTATATATATATAGATATATATATAGATATATATCTATATACATAGACTAATAACAGTATGTTATGCATGGTGCTATCTAATTCTTGACCTCACCTTCTCCCTGACTTCACACCAAGTCTAGTTTGTTGGCATATTTTATTTACTTCCTGCTCTCTCTGGACTCTGTCCATTCTGTGTAATTGCCAGTTCCCTGGGTTTGATCACTGTCATCTCTTAAGTGTTTTACTAAAATGCTCATCTGTACTGGTTGCTCTGCATTATTTTATTTTACTAGTTTTTTACTTAATTTATTTTACTAGTTTTTGATTGGTGAAGACTTTGGTTGCTTTAACCTTTTTTTTTTTTTTTGTACCAGGGATTGAACTCAGGATTGAATTTGTACTTGCTAGGCAGGCAGCATCACCACTGAGCTAAATCCCCAACGCTTTAACCTTTGACTGTTATAAATAGTGCAGTGAGTTATCAGTCTTATAATGTCATTTACTAAGTTCATCTTGTGGTACACAAAAGTTGGTACAGTGGACCCTTGAGTTATGACTGGCCTCACATACAAAAAACTTGGGTTATGACTGGAGTTTTAGTTTTAATTTATGGCAAAAGTCTTGAGTTATGACCCAAATGCTGGCAGCTTATGCACTTGTAAAAAAAAAAAGACTTGAGTTGTCAGAAGAACGTTTGTAAGTATGCTTAAGTGTCAGTCTGAGCCCAGGTGCACGTGTTTGTGGATATGATTTTAGTCAGTGCTTTAAATAATAGCTATGATTACTACTGTCAAAATAGCCTCAAAAAAGCTAGAAAAGAAGCTTGAAGAAGCCAAGGTAAAGAAAGCAATCACATTGCAAAGAAAAAGGAAACGAGAAATATGAGTGGTGTTCATGTGACTGATCATGCTAATAGTTATAGCATGCCAAAATCCACCATCTCAACAATCTTGCAGAGAAAAGATTTGTATAAGGAAGCTAGTGTTGCTGAAGGTGTTACTCAAATTAGTAAGTCACAATCAACAGTCTTATTAGATGAGGCAGAAAGGCTGTTCGTATTAGTATTAGTGTAGATAAACAAAAGGCAGATGGCAGGCCTGAGTGTATAATATGTGAAAAAGCTAGGCCTATAAATTCAGATCTCATGAAAGATAATCCATCAACAAATGATAATGGAGAAATATTTTGTGCCAGTGGTTTCATAATTTTAGAGCAAGAACCAGGGCTCATAGCATAACTAGGCATGATGAGCAGCCAGTGCTTAATAAAGAGCTGCTGAATAATTACACCACTTCTAAACGATGACACAGAGAAATAGCTTTTGCTCTCATCAAGTTTTCAACTGTGTTGAAACTGACCTTTTTTGGAAGAAAATGCCCAGGAGAACATACATTACCCAGGAAGAGAAGAAAATGCCAGGTCACAAGCCTGTGAAGGATAGGCTAACGTTATTGCTATTTGCCAATGCACGTGGTGACCTCAAGATAAAGCCTTTCTTGGTTTATCACTCTGAGATCCCTAGAGAGTTCAGAAAATATAAAGGGGTTCTGTGGAGGTCTAACACAAAAGCCTGTGTAACAAGAGTACCTTTTCTTGAGTGGATCAGGGAGGTTTCCTGTCCTACTGTTAAGAAATATCTAGAGGACAAAGGTTTACCACTCAAGGCTCTCCTCATCATGGACAGTGCTCCTTCTCACCCACAAGACTTGGAAGAGTTGGCTCAAGAAATCCCATGGCTCTCAGTTTAGTTCCTCCTACCTAATACAGCTCCTCTCCTGAAGCCTATGGACCAGTTGTAGGTTATAGTTAACTTTAAGAAGCTGCACACCAAGGAACTGTTCCTGAAGTGCTTCCAGATGGTCTCAGATACAGATTTCCTTTCCTGTGTGGGGTTAATTGAGAACTCCTGGGCCAGGGTCTCTCTAAGGGCACTGAGATCTGCCTGGAAGGAAGTGTGGGCTAAAATGATAAAAGAGTGAGACTCTGAAGGCTGTGTACAGGATCCTGAGCCCTCAGTTGACCCTGTGCTTGATGGCACTGTCACTGTAGAGTCCATACATGTGAAGTGTAACCATTATTAAATAGGATGGAGTGGTTCAAAGCATGGAGGTGGAGAGCTCTGGTCTCAGCTCTGCCACTCAGCAGGTGTGTGCGTCTTGATGAAACATGGAGACACCATTTTGTAAATTTTATCAACATTAAAATGAAATGGCTTTACTAAAAATATCTGTGGTTCCTTTGTTGTAAGATATTCCTCCCCTTCAGCTTCCTGCCTGGCATGGGTGTACTTCTTTGTTTTCTCAGTATTAAAGTCATTTTTCTCCACCTGTTGAAGCCTTCTAGGAACTCTTGCATTCTCTTCAGAGCAAAACAGTAGAATAGAACAGAAAAAAATGGAACAGACTGTTGGCATTTCTTCATTTATGGGCCCGTAGCATCTTGGCAGTAACCGCTGTATCAGGGCAATGATTGTGTTTTTGTGTTTGCATTTAAAATCCCTTCATTGCGGGTGGGGGCTCTGTCTTGTTTATCTTTTATTTTTAATCGTTCGTGTCTGGCACAACTGTAACTAAGCACATATTTGTCGAGTGAACATTCAGCTACTAAATCTGACCTGTACCAATGGAAGCAGCATAGTTAGCATCATATCGCAAATCTTTGTTCTTTACATGCTGGGGCATTTTATTAATTTGTGTAATCTCTATTTTATAGACGTCTGGAGGCAGTTTTCATGGGAGACAGAATAAGAGTATATGCCAGGTCTTTCAAGCCAGAAACATTACATTGGGTGGAGCATTTGTTTGCAGTTCTGGTTTGGGACATCCATTATTTGAGTCAAAACAAGAATGTGTGATGAGTTTTTGCATTTGGCAGATAATCAGAGATGTAATATGGTATTGATGAATTTAGTGTTGGAGTTGGTCTTGCAGAGCATCAGCCTCTGTCAAGGGCATCTTAAAATAGCTGCTTGATTGTACAGTTTCTTTGTCAGAATGAGTTATTTATCCATATCCAAGGGTATATCCAGCCAGTAGGAGACACTGAAGAATAGTGTATGAAATAATGTTCCATATTCTCCAGTTATTTTTAGTGTTGACCTGAAAACTAGAGAATATTGTTTTCAGAGACTTACTGTGTTGAACTGTAACATTTTTATATGAAGGCATAATATAACATGTGCC